TCCGAATTTTACCTGTTGCAGACGATATCTTTAGTACCGACACAACATTTGTAAACTACAGACGGAATGTCATCCTTAAATACACGATAATACGGCTTTAAACCAGTTAATATGTTATCTTTATTTCAGGTCTTGTATTTATAGTAGATTTCTTATTTCATGTTCGTCTCCACGTCTGTACATGTGGGTTATCTAAATCCAGTTAACACTGCCTTGATAACCTGTGTCTTGACCTGTTGTCATTGTCAATAAAGAAAGAAAGAAAGAAAGAAACGACACGCCTTGCTCAATACATCACTGGTTTCTCACAGGGGCACTACGTTCTGCCGACATGTTGGTGTAATCACTGTTATTCAGCCAATTAAGGCGCTACGTTACGTGCGTTCTGATGCGTTCACTGACGAGCCCGGAGACGTATCAAAGTTCAGATCGGAACTGCCGATGCGTGGGAAAATAACCCTTGGCATTAGGTGTAAAATGACAACGTCAGTAACTTGTTGTCCTTTCAGCCTGACTTTTAGGCTTGTCCCTGGTGCTGAAATTATGAGCGTTCTGCAGTTTTATACTTTCGATGGAAATTTCACATTTTTGGGGGCTAAATATTAGAGTTCGGAGATTGTTAAATTCAGTATAACAAACTATTAAAAATGCATTTTAAAGGCCCTTATTCTTCTAAAATTAGAATATGAAATAACTTCGATTCCGTTTCATGTATCTGCTTGCTTTATCAACTAGTTGAGCTTCTACGTGTATAACAATTAGCATAACAAACGACGTGGTTTTCCGTCCATAAAATACGGTCTAGAGCAACTTCATCTTAAGTCAGAATTTCAAATAACTTCTACACAGTTTCATATCTGTATTCTTGATCAACTGGTCCAGCCTCTAGGGTCAACATGTTACCCATGCTCAAAGATCGACAGTGTCAAAGGTTCTCTCTTCTTCTAATGGGTAAATGGGCGCTCACATGCTCCGTGCCACTTCGCTACCCTCTTCTTTGAAGGCTAAGTCGCCGTGGGTGATCCTTGAAAGACGCCCCGTGCGATTTTTCTATGGCTTTGGCACCAGATAAAAGCCATGTGAAGCCTGAGGTTCGTGTAAGGTTGCTGTGGCTTGTTACGTGTGGACGTGTCGTGTTTGGCAAAACCCGACACAGAATGAGCCATTCATGACACCATGACCTGGACATTGGATAGGGAATTGCGAAACCGCAATATTAGATGACAAAAATGTGACAAGTTGTGGAAGTTTCACCAATTATACTGTTACCAATTCTTTTGGTACACTTGAAATTGATTCAGTGGTATCTCAAACTTACCTGACTCTTAATATTTTGTCTCTTGCCAAACCGATATTATGAACCACACCTGCTTGATTGCAGGGTTTGTAGTATCTTGAGTACGATGTCCAAATTGACTTCAAATTGAAATTGATTAGATACTACACGACCACCTACACGTATGAATCTTACAAAATCGATAAGCCGACACTTTTAGGTATTGATCGTAAAATCCCCTGTCACGTAATAAGCCCTAATAAATGTCATGTTATGAATCTGTATCATTTCCATGGACACATGTGAGCTCGCCAATTTGTACCAAGGTTATCGGAGAACTTGATAGTTTCAAGAGAAGCTCAGTCGGAAATTTATGTTCGGATTTTTCTATGCTTCGTCTTTGAGTCGGCTGTATCTTAAAAAGTGAGAGCGAACGCAAAACTGGGTCGAGAGCACTTTCACTCTTAAGTGTATCGGAGATCTGTTTTAGTTCTTACTCTCAGTAAGCGATTTTGATTTTTTTATAGCTTAGCGAGAAGAGATGCTCTCTTGTTCAAATGAAAGTAAACTTGAGTGTCCTTCGGGTCTTGTTGTCTATTCATGGTGACCTTGAGTAAGACAGAATGTTCAGTCACAGGATGCAATGCTTCACCCTAAGAGCCACTGTCACAAAGACCAGTCTAAATGTTTAGCGAGGCTTCCGGAGAGGGTCTAATAGTACATTCTGTTCTCTATTCATGGTGACCGTGAGTTAAGACAGAATGTTCAGTCTCACAGGATACTTAATGCAATGCTTCACCCTAAGAGCCACTGTCACAAAGACCCATCTAAATGTTTTAACGAGGCTTCCGGAGAAAGCCTAATAGTGCATTACGTTCCCGCTGTCCCCCGGAAGTAGGTTCACATGTTGTTGACATGTGCCCTTCCATAGCATGTTACATTATTGAAAAGAAATTATTACGACAGAAACATCCAGCTAACATATAGAAAAATCTTACTACACAAACACTCTGACAGCAACCACAACTTTGCAGCATAGCAAAGTTATATACAGATAGATAACATTCATCATTAAACTAGAAACCATGATAAATCTAAAATTGAATAAGCGAGCATTCTCTAATGTATTCAACGTAAATAACTTAACGTTACAGTAGCCCTTCTAAAAGACCCTCTACCTTTTGGAATTCATCGGTTGAATCTCGAAGTATTTGCTTTCAAGGCACACATCATGTGTTATGGTACATGTAAGCACATCGTGCTATTATATGTACATCTAACCACGAGGCTGGAAAATTGAGTTTATCTTACATAAAAACTTTCAGATCGCATTATCGTCTTTTCCCAAACTGGCTAATGCAAAAAGACGTAAATCACGTTTTGCACAGTCATCGATGTGTCACATTTGAACATGTCTGATCCCCCCAGTGGATTCCTCTCCACTGCTCCCACCGACAGCCGCTGGGGGAATATAAATTGGAACTGTCAGCTCTTTATCTAATGGTGTTTTCCTTCCCCAAACCTAATATAAGACGGTACAATGGACGTCCGGGGCCATCTGCGTCATTGGAGGCTCCTACTTTGTCGTGTTGAGAAAGGGTGCGCGTGTTTCATGTCAAGTCGGTACCGTTCTGAATTGGTACGGAGTACTATGAACAGAAAAAAGGTTTCGATGCGGTGATACAAGAGCCTTAACATGACTACGGGGACGGAATAAGGTCGGCGATAAGCCAAGGAAATCGGTAATCCGATCAATTAAGGAAGCTAATTTGCATATCCCTGTCTCCCTGCAAGGCAGTGACCCTATATGGCAGAACGTGGTTGTTGTCTCTTGATGATTATAAGAAAGTTTTGAAAGTTTCAACAGCATTCGGATTGCAGTCGTGTATGTTATATATACATAAACCTCCCCCAGTGCAAGAGGAGGTGTTAGTGTAACTATCCAATCACACAATCATTGCCGTTACCGGTATGGTCTACGTTAACTGCTTCTCCGCGTCTTACAATTTGCGCGGTGGAAACATTCTAAACTATATGGTTAGGCGATTAAAAGACACAGTACTGAGAACGACCTGCCAATGTTGGTTGTTATTATGCAGGCTGAAGCTGGGTGATAAGAAAAAATCCCGCGTGCCGCCTCCTTTCTCCTGTAGTGTGATGAACTCTCTGGGCATGAAAATTGACAAAACAGTCGGGCCTAAACGACTCGCCACCGCTGTTTTAGTCGGCGGGGATAGGAAACAAAATCCAGCGTGACGTACCGAGGGTTTTTAGGCGATGCCGTTTCACGTTTTCTTCACGACTGGGATTACCCTGTTGCTACTGAGGGATCTTAGGTTATTTTCCGCTTACATTAGCGGACTGTTGATGCAGAGATAGACCGATTCCTTACGCACATACGCCTAACCCGGAATACTAACCAAGTAACAATTCTGCCGACACTGTTTCTGAAGATATGGGTGCCAATGAGGGTTATCTGGAAACTGAAAAGATACAATACACGAGGAGAATTCAGATAATAAGATAAAGGATGGGAAGCTAAGGTTTATTCCTCAATAGTTTAGTGGGATGAAGTATTTTGAGATGTGTAATGGAAGCCATCAGGGCGTACCAACCTTCTCTCGACCGAGACGGGGGGCGGCATAGACTTCCAACATAGACTTTGACCCATCGCTGACGTAACACGTGCATAGAGTCAAGTGCTCTTAGGGCTTGGGTCAAAAATATGTAAAAAAGGGAGTCAGTTGGTCATTCCAGTGAGTCTTTTTTCTAGCTGGAGAACAGTTTGATTGCTCTGCATTGCGTGATAAAACTAGATAAACTAGAGAAGTAACATTTGCAAAGCAGATGCATAATGTTTACCTTCGGACAGGGTCTGCTCTGTTAATTCTTACTCAAACACATTCACATACATGTATATTAGTATATGGTGACAGGAGCACAGCAGACCATGAAATTGTAACATTATGTAACCCAACACCAGTCACCATGGTGACAGACGTCAACAAATCATGTCATTGGTCAGGTCATAGGTCACTGTTTGGAGAAGAAGAAACCGAGTAAAAACAATATGTTTTCCTTCGGTAAACATAAGAAATGAAGTATATGTAAAGCTGTAAGCAACGACTGGAAAATGTTGGAGAGAGAAAACTTCAAACTTGTTTCTCGTTCTTTCAGGTCTATCCAACACGTAGGAATCCCCGCCTCTGAGTTGATTACGAGCGTACTTCGTGAAGACGTGACGTGGTCCAGCGACGGTTCTAATAATTGCTGTCCCTACGGCCGCTACAGAGGGATTTACGTGGTTCTAATTCACCTCAAAATCACCGACTATTTCCGCCTGACGACGGAGGTTTTAATCATTAAGTTTTCCTCTTTCGACGCTTAGTCTGAAGTTTCTAATCCTGCGAGAGGAGCAGAGCGTCTGTAAGGCTGCCGCTGAATTATCGGGGCGTCGGACTTAATCGTCCTGAAAATCGATTTCTACGATTGAAGTAGCTGCTCTCCGTGTGGTTCATTTTACAGACTGACGCTGTACTTGGTTACCAAGAGGAAGAAGAGGACATATTGCGAACATTTGACGTAAATTTTCTCCAACAAAGAAGAAAGAAGTGGCCTGACAACGGAGGCAACACACTACAAAAACCTAGAGAATCGAAGCCACCCTTGTTACCAGCTTGGATATATCTATAGAATAAAGACAAGAGACTAAAAGAGACCTAAAATGGCGTTGAACTCTTCTGTATATCTCTCCTATCTCTCAAACCTTACCGACTATTCCTACGACTACTCAGAGGACATTCATAACGATTACCTGTCCTTCATTAAGGACACAAACAGAACGTTTGAAGTCGATTTCGTCAACGACACCTTGCCTCCGGAGGGTAAAGACATCCCAGCCCGCGTGACGTTAGCCTTCGTGTATTTCCTGATCCTGTTGGTATGTGGGGTGGGGAATGCGCTGCTACTTTTAGTCCTGTACAAGTATCAGCAGACCAGAGGTTCGACCAATCTCCTGATCGCCAATCTCGGTAGGTGACACGTAATCAAACACTGTTTATTTATTATAGGGAGGTATATGCAAAGGAAACAGACCAAGTGAAAACAGACAAGAAATATGATATTTCAGACTACAGGGAAGCATTTTAGGTATCTGTCGATGTATTTTGGAACTGTATTGTATGATCATGATAAAATACCCGATTGGATTACATCGTAGGATGGATTATTACGGTTGTACGATGTAACTCACCCCGGTATTACACAATGGTTTATGTTTCATACCATGGTTACACAGTACACATCCCTGGCTACCTTATACCACATGCTACCACCCAAAGCATGGTGAGTCACAACCGTGTCAATCAACTGAAACTCAATCTCCACCCACCCACTTCCAATCCTCACTGCTGAGGACAAACAGGTGCCACCCAAATCAATACTTCCAGCAAGACAGTAGAGATGGAGATGGAGAAAGCTTTCAGTGCGAAATTCAATTGGCATGTTACAAACAAACTGTGAAGTGTGAAGTTTTGAATTGTTAGAACTATTTCGAGATGCATCTAGATTTGCCATCATGTTTGTAACTCTTCTGGTGTTCTCTCTACAGCGTTGTCAGACCTGATCGTAGCCGTGCTGTGCATTCCCTTCAACATGGATTATTTCGTCTTCAAGGTACGTTTGCTTTTAGTGTCACTTCGATTGATGATCGTCGTTGTTTCCGGATCGCTTGTCACATCGTTGAACTTCAGAAGAACCAGACTGAGAAATTGAATATTTTCTGTCGGCCGTCGGTGTGACTAGGGACGACAGTCGCCATAAAAAATCTGTACGTTGCATTGATTGAAAGATGCACTGCCAAGATGGTCCAACCGTGGCGAGCGTATAGGGCTCTGTCGATGTCACATACAGCATACATACCTTCGCAAAACAATGAGGGTAATCTCCAAGCAGATCTTTTGGTGGCTGCAAAGACAGTATCAAATTGGCAAGTCAGTATTTATGTGACAGACAGTTACCAGCACAAAAAGAGGGCCCGATAAAAACGCATAAAACACGCCAACAATAAGCTAAAACCTAATCCTCTGCTTGGAGAGTACAGTTAGGGTTTGGGGTAGTTGTGCACGTGTCCTGCAACGTTAAACTGCCCTGTTACATAACATGGAGCCTAAGATCAATGTCATGGTTGATTCTTCTCGGAAATTCCACTAATGAATCAAAGCCGTGCCAAATAGACTGCCAGAGGAGGAAGTCAGCAAGAGGAGTACAATTTGCAGCTAGCTAACTTAAAGGATTTCGTACTCCTCTGACTGGCTGGCTAACTCTTTTGGCGTACTATTCAGTCCATTTGGCAAATCTATGCCATTTTCCAGCAACCTGAAGGGCCTGGTAGACGCTATAATACTAGTAGCCCCTTTAACGATCAGGAAAAAACGACCAATTTAGAGAATAACACTCCTGTTAGTTGTTAACCTCCAGGTGTAACCTCCCAAACCCCACTCATTGTAAAAAAAGTGGGGCACCTCGTCTTCAACTACATCCAAAAAGTAAAACCTAAAGAAACTTAGATTGTATTCCGTAGCAGTTCTTATTAGAATAGTCACTTGTTACACTTGTTACCATTGTTAACTTCTCTTTCTATACATTGTTTCTTGTTACCTTTGGACACAAAACTAACTTACTCTCCATGTCTGTTTGTGATGTAGATGCGCGGCTGGACTCACGGCAGTTTCATGTGCGCCACAGTGAACTACGTGCGGATGGTGAGCCTGTACGTGTCCACTAACGCTCTGCTCGTCATCACTGTGGAGAGGTAGGGTTTTCTTTAAAAAATTCTCAAGATGCTCTTCCTGAAAATCCAGGACAAACAAACTAGTTATGCTTACTGATTTTTTTTGGGTTTGCTTATCGCACATTTCTACGTAACGCACTTCTCGTCATCATTTTGGAGAGATGGGGATTTTCTTCCTGAAAAAAACTACAAGACAAACAAACAAACAAACAAACAAAAAACAAACAAACAAACAAACAAACAAACAAACAAACAAACAAACAGAAAATGACAGTAATTTCGAACACTCTAAGCCCAATGGAGTACTTCTCGTTTGTTTCTTAATGAAATGAATTTTTTTTTACTGTGGGTGCACCAGTGTAGGATATAGTACTATTGTGTACGGGTATACAGCATATAAAAGTCAGCTACAGAATTTCAGCCTCAAGTTCTGAAGAAAGACAGCAAGATCTGTTCTAATGTACATGTTGTGCACGTATCACATTTTTTCTGTACCCACACATTTTGGACCTATTCCCAAAACTAAATTACAAGCCCTGCATCACTAAGTGTGACGTAAGAGTACTTAAGAAAGGGTCTAGCCATTGATTTGCTGTAAGTTGAAGACCTGAGAAAGTGTAACTGAGTAATAAGCTAATATATAAGCAATGGCACCTCACTAAACAATATAGATTTTTCATTTGGTCACTTTATGGCAGCACTAGCTCTGCGTGTTGCCCCTTGACACTGTGTGTGTACCTAATACTTAACATGGAAACTGATTATAACTTGACTTTCAAAGTATGTGACTTCTGCTATTCATGTGGTAGAGAGAGATGTGCTCTTTGGTATCGCACAGGGAGACCTTTGTGACACTGTGCGTGTACCTAAAACTTAATACGTGAGCCAATTGGAACATGACTTTCAAAGTCTATGACTTCTACTGTTCTTGCGCTAGACAGATGTGCTATTTGGCAATATCCAAGAAGATCCCTCTGACACTTGTTAAACCAATTAGAAATTGCCTTTGAAAGTCTTTGACTTTTATCATTCTTGTGCAAGTGAGATTTGCCCTTTGGCATCATTTACGAAATAGATAATGCAACGCTAACAGATTTTACTATTCATGTGCTAGAGAGATATGCACTTTGTCATCACACGGGAAGACCTTTGTGACACTATGCGTACGCGTGTACCTAACACCTAATACGTAAACTAATTAGAACATGACTTAAAAGTCTATGACTTCTATCATTCTTGTGCAAGAGAGACATGCCCTATTTGGCATCATTCATGATCAGGAAGTACTAGTAGTCTTATATAATCCTATCGCTAGTTAAAATCAGAACTTGAATTTGAAAGTCTAACACTTCTACTATTCTTGCGCAAGTGGGGCATGCCCTTTGGCATCATTCATGATCAGGAAGTAGTCTTATATAATCCTCACGCTAGTTGAACCAATCAGAACTTGAATTTGAAAGTCTATGACTTCTACTATTTTTAGATCTTGCGCTAGAGATTTGCCCTTTGGCATCATTAGGAAATAGTCTTCACGCTAAGATGATGCAACGCTAACAGACTTTGCACCCAATTTACACCACTGGCTGCGAAGGCTGAGCCACCATTAAGGTAGGCCACGAAGGCAGCCATTAAAAATACACAAAAGGAAGAACGAACCTCTAGACTTTCAAGCCGTCCAAGAAAAATGTGTTACTGCTTTCACGAACGACACAATTACCCTCTAATTTATAGCTGGTTGGGATGTTCAGAATATTCATAGCTAGGCCATAACGTTCCTAACCGACCATGGCGCATACGATATACATGTACTCGGTTGATCGTTCTCTCAACTGCTATATATTTTGTCTCTGTGGTGTTACTTCAAGCCCTATATCAACGTCCTAGGAGATAACTGAGAGCTAAATATAAAGTCAATGCTTCAGCACGAGAAAAGTGGTTGTTGCCTGAAGACTTATTCGTTCCACACGACCTAAGTGCATCCTGAATGGGATCCCAACATCGTTTTTAAACCCCGAGAGGTCGTAATGTAACGTTAAAGAGACGTCATATGATCCAGAATTGAATGGAACTGTTGAATATTCGTCCATGTAATGCCTCCGAGGATTGGACCGGCTACGGTGGCTTGTACTTCGTGTTAAAAGCCCCCGTCACAGTCAGAACCTTCCCCTGACCATCAATTAAGGAAGATTGACTGAGGTTCCGGAGCAGTCTGACCAGATTTACCCCACGCCTACCTTTCTACTGGGATCGAATTTGAGTTAAATTTGAGTCAAATTTGACCCACGAACAAGCCTGAACACCATCCAACCATGTCTAACCTCCGGTTCACACCCAAACGTTTGAAACATGCTGGCGCAGCCAACCTCGCCGAACACCAGCCAACTACAGCCGACCTTGTCCCGACCTAACTTTGGTTGGGGGTAGTTTGGTAGTGTTCGGGGGCCCATATTCCGCTGTGTGACAGGGGCTGAAAAATTCATGAGAGTCTTTACTGGTTGTGTAAAAGAAAACCCCAATATCCGATGATGCAGAATTTATTTCTCGTGTTCGTTGTGCACGCAGCGTTGGGCTAGATTGATAAAAGGATTCCGTTTTTGTAGTCTGTCCAGGGATACCCACCACCAACTTTACAAGAAACCAGTAAAACAGTTTACGTTGAGCATCACTTTTATTTCAGTGTCTACACTCGCACTCTGGCTAAGTAATAGCATTTTTACGATGTATATACGACTGTAATCCCTGCATATAGAGTACATGCACTTTGTACATGAAATGGACATAAATCGACATGAAGAATGCGGCCGTGGTATATATAATGGAAGGATCTCAAAGAAAAGCGTATTATTAGCACATGCCATGGTCATTTTATCATCATGCTCGGTGGCATGACAACGATTGAACTTTGCGTACAGTGCAGATTGTCGCGCAAAATGATGCTGTATTTTAAGGATAACGTGTAGCAGTTTATGGTTTCGGTTCCGTCGACGGAATGTATTGTACAAACGGAGGTCTCCTTTTGTGGAAATGTTTAACAGCTAAAAAGATGAACTCACCGGTGTTTTTGACTGAATGAATCAGTCTTCTTCGGCTATCTGAACCAATCGCTCAGTACACTTGACTTTATGCAGGTGTGACGTCAGCAAAGGGTCAAAGTTTGTTGGAAGTCGATATCGCCCCCCGTCCAGTGCTGACGTCATACACGAATAAAGTCACGTGTCATGGGCAACAGGGTCAGACAGCTGAAGAGGACTGAATGAGTCACTCGAAAATTGTTTTCGAGTTTAAAAACAGTTTGCCTTTTCCACATCTACTTCACAAACTCAGATGAACTTTCGTGTCAGCCCTCTTGTCAGCTCCACACGCTGCTGGTTTATGCCTGATACATGTACCAGTGTTGACAGCCACTCCACAGAGTGCATTCACACAGTCCGTTTGTTAGCGAGCTTTCTAAGCCCTTCTCTTTGCCTCGACAGCAGCTATATTCTCTCAGTTTCTTTACGTTTTTAAAATATACAATGTACTCGTACACGTGCATACCGTGTCGAAATGAGTCTTTGCAACACTCTGTATGAGTCGGCACGAACATCACTATGACAAAATGATGCCCGAAAGCTAAAGAACTCTACAGTCTAAGGCTTTCCATGCAACAACGACGCACTCAGAGTCGTTACGCCAAATATTCACCGACGGATAGAGTAAAGCTGAAACCTCTTCGGGAACGTTATGGATCACATCTCTAATAGATTCAGACAGGCCACGCATTCAAGTACCAGAGTTATCAACCAAGGATTGAGGTGTTCAAGAATTCATTCTTTCCTAGAACTATCGCAGAGTGGAACTCACTGTCACCAAGTATAGTAGGGGCACTGTCAATAGATAGCTTTAAACAATGTCTAGAGCTAGAAGTTCAAGGGTTAGGTGTAACAAGTCGATCGGTGTAATATAGCCAGCTGCCGCCGCGCCGCGTGCCTGCGAAGCTGGTGTGTTACGCCGAAAGGCGGTTATACCGGCTATACAGATACAGATACAGATACAGAAGCCACGGGACTACTGTGTGTGTGTGTGTGTGAGAGAGAGAGTAGTGTACATCGTATGGGCAGCACATCTGGGTATGTAACTAATGTGAGGTATGGGAAATCAAAACGGGTAAGATATTGGCGAGGAAACCGAAAAAGACGACGCGTGATCATGTGTTTATGAGACAGACCGAATAATTAACCAAACTACCACTCATGGAATCCTCTTTTCAGTGCTTTTCTCTTTTTTGGCGACGCCTCAGGGGCAAGTCTAATAGTATACGATGTGCCACCTTAAAGAAAATGTTAGCTATTGCAGATGAATTTCTGTAATGTCCGTCAAAGAAATTATCACTCAACCAACTCGATAGATTTTGACAACTTTCGGACGTTTGACGTAACACCCACTGCTTCAAGTTTTGCCAGTGACTAACAGAATCTGTAGTTAAAAGGATATTTATCAAAATTGAATTGACTCGTAAATGAGGTGAAGTAACAATTTTCTTTAGTATTTTATTACCTGAGCAAAATAAAATCTTACAATACAAACACCACACTCCCACTAGTACAACCTTTGAGCCTTGAAACTCTTTGTGAGAGAAACATTACCATGAGACATTCCTAATACCAGATTTCATTCACTATTACAAAGCATTACCAGTACTACGGTTGCCGTGTTTACTGACGTTTGTTGGTATTACAGGCATGACAGACGCTGGCCGTGAGTTCATGCGCAAACCTTAAGAGGCCTTATCGTAAATGTCGTTAATCCGTCAAGTGTTCGCACATGTGTATCTCGTAATGTCGTTTAAAAAGGCCATGGCCAAGGCGAACTACTCGCAAAAGGGTATGTCTGGCCACACGTATTCGCGTGTCCGCCATCTATAAGCATAGACAACAGAAGGTACCGTTACATGGTATTAGCATGGTTTTAAGAAACTTTAAACTGTTCTCCAACCTTCAGTCAACCGTGACGGGGGACGACATAGACTTCTGACCGACCCATTGCTGACGTCGCACGTTAAAGCATGTGATCATAGCAATAGTCAGAAAGCACACCAGGGGGGTTGAACGTTTTTTCAATGTGTTTCATGAGCGTTTAGTCTCCATTTTACCCAACTTATTTCCATCGTGAGTAATTTCTTTTCAACGTATTCAGACAAGACCTAATACTAAAATCCCCACCCACCAGCCTCAAGTGCAAGGCAACAATGTTGCCCTCGGCATTGCTCTTGACATATGGGGGGTATCTAGTCTCTTATGTTTCTTACCAGACGTGCGTCGGTTGATTTATCAAGATATTATCATCTCAGACTGGGAAAAATCCTTGCTTTGGGGTGTTTCTGCAGATCACTCGACTTTTCAGCGCACTTGCGTGTTGCAAATTTGAACTTTCAAACTGAATCCTGGCTTGGTTTTAAAAAATCATTGTACTTAATGATAACACGCTGCGTATGTTGTGACGGAGCCCTTAAGACCCACCCTTAAGGAGCCCTGAGGTCATGTAAAATTCCCTCTCAATGATCAACGGTTACTCAGAAGCTGTTTGAAGGCTTTGTTTGAGACTTTGTTTATTCATGAAATACTGAAATCAGTCTGCTGGTGGTTGAAGTTTTTCATTGAGGCAACGAGGGTAGAGGTCAGGGTCAGACATAATGTAACAATTTAAAAGGTATAGGTTACATGATTAAAGTCCTATCAAGTCTATAAACATATAGTCGTAATAAATCCATGGAAATGTATCTTTACAAATACATTGTGCGAATGCAAAGAAAAGCAATGATTATAAAAGTTCTTCAGGACTAGTCAAACAAAAATCCAAAGTTACCGAGAAAATACTACACGCAAACTGCCAATTAAAAAGTAGTATTGACGCCTAAAAGACGCTTAAACTTCAGAGCAGACTGTGGGTGTGTGGCTTAGGGATTTGGCTCTAGTTATAATGAGTTAATAAGTATGCCTTAGTTTGACTCCAAGGACAGTGTTGGCCAAAAGCCATGTGCTTAGCATGGTGTAAGTCTGGGTAATCTCCAAGATCTTTATCGGAAAAGTCGAAACCAGTGGACAAGACTCTCCCATTCAAGAGGCCATCAACGTTAATTGGGTCAACTGGGTCAGGAAACCACACACATAAAAGAAGGCCACAATCTTCCCAAATCAATCTCTGCTTAAAGAGAAAGGTAGTATGTTCAGAAAGATTGGTGACCAGCCCCTACATATTGTACTTCAACACCACGGGGCAGGGTATCTGCTTCAGCACCAGTTACTATGATGACAGACGTCTGGTCCAGGCCATTGAGCTTATGTATTTGCATGGACCTTCTACTTCCATGGTATTTGGAGAAGAGGAAGAAGAAACTGAGCAAAAACTATATGTCAGTTTCCTTCTGCGAATGTAAACATGATTATTATGTTTACGAAGGAAAACATATTGTTTTTACTCAGTTTCTTCCTCCTCCTCTTCTGTTCTAAACACTAACCTCTGACCTGGCCAATGACATCCTTTGTTGACGTCTGTCACCATGGTGACTGGTGTTGGGTTACGTAATGTTGCAACATTTCATGGTCTGGTCTGCCCTACTCCTGTCACCATATACTCGTAGTACATGTATGTGAATGTGTTTGAGTAAGAATAACAGGGCAGACCATGTCCGAAGGTAAACATTATGCATTTGCTTTGCAAATGTTACTTTTCTAGTGATTTATCTGTTCTCCAGGTACATAGTGATTGTGCATGAGATCCAGCGGCGAATCAGCAGGAAGGGTGTGTGCATGGTGTCCGGTCTGGTGTGGCTGGTTTCCATGGTGATAGCCGTCCCCTCCGCCATGTACTCCCGGGTCGTGTCCTACGACCACCGAGACGGCGCGATCTGCGGGCAGGTGAGAACGGCAAAGCGCCATCTAGCAGATTCCAAGGGAATGGCAGTCATTGTACATTCTGAAGTTGAACTCAGTCGAAACTCAGCAACACATGCATGTTAACACAAGAAATCAGATATTTCAAACTTCTGAGTACTTTTAGTAGTAGATAGTTACATGTTCAATTGAAATTTTGTTCCAACACAAGGAATTGTTCTCACCTAGAGCTAGCTTTCGACCAGTCACTCTATCTGGTCTTCTTCAGTAGACTGACCAAGTGAGACTTGTCACGTGACTTCTCTGAAGTGTGACGTCAACACTGGGTCAAACTCAACGGTAGCTGGTAGAAGGATGCTTGACTCTGAGACTTACAGAACTTGGCTCCCACCTTTGCGTGGCGACATAAGTACCAGAGACACTAGATCTAAGCACCTGCTGAACCCTATCAAAACTAGAACAAGTAGATATTACAACAGCCCCATCCCGTACATGACCAGACTCTTGAATGAACACTAATACCTATACAAGAACTGTGAACTTGCGAAAATGGTGAATCTTGCCAATGGGTTAATGTAGTTAATGCTAGCCACGTATATTTGTGTAAATGTGTTAACGCAAACTATGACGAAATTAATAGTAAGCCTTCTATATTGTGTTAATGAGTTTCTATATTGTGTTAATGAGTTTCTATATTGAGCTTCAATGAGTACTGTTAGTTTGTAATTTAAGATTTTTTAGCAATTGTACAAGGTATGCAATTCAGCCCGGTGGCTGCAAACTACTTTCAATAAACCATCTATTATTATTATTATTATTAAACGATGTCGCCCCCCGTCACCGCCTATTGAAGAAGACCAAAGTGACTGATTGAAAGCCAAGGTAATCTCTTGTGCTGGGAAAATAATCTAAACTTTAAACCTCACACTGTCTCCTATGTTGTTGTCAGATCTGGCCAGTCTCGCTGGAAAGCACGTCCCAGGGGTACTACGTGTTCGTGGTGGTCGTACAGTTTGTACTTCCGGTCTGCATCATGTGTTTCTGCTACTTCCGGGTCATCTGGAAGGTTTGGCGCAGGCGCTTCCCGGGACAGGTGAGTTTATAATCTTAGAATTTATCTTTGTTAACTTGCTACTTATGTCGTTCCTGAATTGGTGCTAGACCAAAAACAAAAAGTAAAAGAATATTTCTGAACCGGAAATTTCGAACAACTTACCGGTAGATAGCAAAACACTTTCCAGTCCATCTACCTTTGATGGACGTCCCTCGGAATCCCGTGTTTGGGAGAGCCACACCCCACGCACGTTAAAGAACCCACCACACTTATCGAAAAGAGTAGGGGACCTTCCCGGTGTGAGTGGTTCAAACCTTACAGTCTGGTATCAGGGTTGACATCTTTGAAAAGGTAATAGTCACCTGTCATGTCAATCCTTCCACAAATGTGGTAAATCGTCATAAATAAATGAACGGTCCCTTCTCCTCCCCCCTATAGATCTCCAGGGCGCAGCGCCGCACTCACCGCAGGTCCAAGGTTAAGACCATGCGGCTGGTCATCATGCTCCTGACGTTCATCCTGTGCTGGGGGCCTTACTACGCCTACACTATCATCCGGGACTTCTTCCCGGCCCTCAGCCTACAGATGAACAAGACCGTCACCGTTTTCTACGTAGTGGAGGCGGTTGCCATGGTGAACAGCGTCATCAATACGTGCGTATACGTGGCCTTCAACGACAACATCCTCAAGTACATCCGCAAGATGCTGCCCTTCGGGACGGGTGTACAGACATCGATCGTGAGCGAGAGCACCCTACCAAGAGGCAGCCGAACTGCACGTAACCGGCAGACGGTTGTCAGCAGCAGGCGGGGAACCGTCGTTACTGTGAAGAGGGCGAGGACCCAGACTCCATAGTAACGACGTATTCTATTGCCCCTATTTCTAGTGATGATCTGTTTTCTGATCGTCAAACATGTTCAAAAGTCGATATTTCCCATCTAAAGAGCTTTCTACAGTCTTGGAACTTTGGACAACGAGGGTACACGTACATTTGCGTCTACCAGGTTTTGCGAAGTGGCTGGGAAAAATGATAGTGGATAGCACGTCAGGGGAGTTGGTCAGCGAGTACAGTTGGGAGCAGCAAACTGTACTCTTCAGTGGACCAAGTCGTTGGCATGTTATCTGCAATTTGGCCAATTTCTACACTTTTGCAGTCACTTCCCAAAGCCTGGTAGAGGCCACAGGTACATCATTGTAATCGCGGAGAATACCAGCCAAGTCTAAATCTTTCTAAATGTTTTATTGGGGCATACATATGTGTATAGTGGAGGGCGCAGGGTTGTATTTTGGCACACCATAATGTTATCATGGGTAATACGTGTCTCTATAGTGTCTTTTGTGGAGGTTTTGCACAGGAAGCCTAAAATAATGTTCATTTCAAGGATGTTAACCAAGATGTTAATATTGAGCATCCAAAGTTATTGCTTTGTTTTCGAAGTACAATGTATTGCATGTGTTGCACATATTAGAACATAATGTTACTTTAATACGAAATTACGGAAAATGTTAAAGGTGCACATGTATACTTGCTAACTAATAATACACACCAATCTGCCCTGCCTTGTTATTGCACTTGACAAATAAAACTAGGAAATCACAGGAATACCGAAGACTATGTTTTATTCGTGACAATTAAAAATGAAGTGCATAAAAAGAATTACATACATGGACATTGTTTTCATTTTGCCAGTTCGTTCTCAGTGGCACTTCAGTGATGTAGGTTCAACTTGCTTGCTCCTTAAACTACAATTATCATTCAAGTATACTTGATGGTTTTCTCCTTGACTTGGTCACAACAATCATATCCAATATTGTACACTTCTCTGGTCTCAACAAACATTTGATGGAGAGTAAACAAACATTCGATGTAAAAAGATGATGCTATACAAAAATAGACAATTAACCGGCAACTCTGGGGGGTCGATAGCAATTATGATGTACCCGTTGGTATGTACATAAAAAGCAGAATATTGTCATCTCAAAAAAGGCAGTGACTAACTTCCATCCCACATGCAACAGTAGCTTGAAAAGCTATTCCACTTAAAATCTAAGGAGAGTGAGTCTTAGCTCCCCTAGTTTCGATTCTCCTCTACTAAATAGTTCCTGATCTTTCCCAACTTTTCTTTCAGAAAACTGACAGCACCTTTCACTTAATAAATGGAATAGCCGGTACATGGCTGTACGGTCTTACATTTCGTAACTGAAACATACAGTGGCTTAAAAATTATCGAACAATGGAATGCACAATGACCACTTTTCTTCCGCTAACAAAACAGGAGTGGCCTGCGTCAAGCCTGAAATAACATACTATAACACACTGATCAATTCAAGTCACAGCTGCCAACATGTCTTAAGCACTTTTTTCTTTTCTTAACTACAACGATGTCTTCAAGTTGGTAGAAAAGCACTAGAGTAGAACTTCAGTGAACACAGCTTGCATCAGCTTAGATTTCTCGTTACTGCATATAGAAGCTTTTTTTTATCTGTTTCTCAGTACAGGCAAGAATTCTCATCATAAACATGTGAACATAATCTCTCATTTGCACGTATACATTTCAGCCTAACAGTAAACCATTTCGGACTTGGAAAACAGTATCTTATCAGTCTTCTTTACAGGTTCTACTATTGAAAAAAACATCAATGTATGTCTCAGTCTTGTTGTTTTAACTGTTGCTCCAATACAAATTGACATGACCACATTTTGACTCCAATGAGTCTCAAGTATGAACTTAGCATTTCAGTCAACCTCACGAACCATTTAGAACAGAAAAATCACAGGACTTTGATCAGGAAACCAACACTGTCCAAAAGATACCTATTAATTCTGGAGCAACCTGGTCACTTCAGGTCAAATCTTCTTACTGTTCTACCTTAGCCTTACTGTTATAAAAGCAAAATACAAATTAGCACCTCAGCACAACTACATGCAAATTTAGACTAATACTAAGTAATAGTTAGTGTTTTACACATGTTGGTATAGATTTGCAATCTGAATTCTGATATCTCACATATAACAAGGAAAATGTATGGGGATGGCAAAGATTTGCCAACGTTTAACTGGGAATCGAAAGGTGATATTCTTTGACAAAAGTTCCTGTTTTTCTTAGTCACATACTACAATATCGTTGTTGCATACTCCCTACTTATACATATAGAAAACAATTCAAGAATACCTCAAACTACCTCCCAATCAAGTACAGAATTGGGCAAACTAAGATAGCGACAAAGTTTAACATAGTACACAAACACCCTTAAGGGAAGGTGCCAAATGTCTGTTGCTGCATCAGGGTACAGCAAGAGGCATTTGGGACCTTTCACATATGTAGATTATAAGATACACATTGATGCTAGCTGGGTAACCTTGGGTGCTGATAGAGTAAAGAGTGAACTCCTCCCCATCTTCGGCCTGGGGATGTCTCTTCTCTGGCTTCTCAGTACGGCTGGTACTGGAATAAAAAGAGTTGGGAGGAAGATGAGATACCTATCGTATGTCAATAGTGTTGACACCATTTTTTATTGGTATGCACTACTGCAACATGACAAACCTTATGTTATGAGCCATGCTGCCGTCAGCCTTGTCTAATTTCTGGACAAACTGTGAACACGTGGTGGTAGAAGGATTGGAAATGAAGCCTTCAACTGGTCTTGGAGAGGCCCTGAAATGCTGCTGTGTCCAGTTTTGACCATAACAGTTGACAAGGCTGACAACAAAGTGTGGTTAGTGCCATATTTGAATGGGTATTCAGGATGGAATCAGCCAGAACAGAGGGGAGAATGGGAGATGAGGAACCCAAACCGAAAACAACCACCAAGGTGAGTCAGTACCTGTTGACCATGGTTCGGCCCTGCCCTTTGACCTTACGCCCAGGTGAGTGACAAAGTGTGGCAAAAACGTCATGGCAACCATCACCAAGGTAACTACAGTTAGATTCAGAGGCTTACCGTGGAGTTGTCCCTAAAAATATTTGTCAGAAGCTGGTAATAACTTTTGCTTGTGAACTCTACAATTTTGTATTAACAAAATGCTTTTGGAGTCAAACATCACAGCAAAATTTAGACGGCACTTTGAATTTGTTAAACAACTAAATCTTGGTAGTTTTCCAGATGTCCTTCACTACTTAACTAACTTGAAGGAATTGATGTTTTACTCAAAAAGAACAGGACAAAAACCAGGTCAACATTTTGATCACATCTGTGGGGAAGCAGTCTGATCTACAAGAACAAACCACACTTTTTATGAATGGGTTAATCAAAATAAAAAAGAGAAGAATGTTCAGAAGCCAACCAGAGTGCAAAGCTTCACCAGACAAATGAGTTGGATTGAAAAGGGAAACTCAAGGCACACCAATCAAGGCAGAACAATCTTGCAATCTGATGCAAAACATGCTGTGATTATTTTTTTCTGGCACTGCACAAACAGACCGATGGATCACACTCCTTAATTCCCACACGTAAAGCTACAAACAGGTATATTTCTGAGAGAATTTGTGTTAACCTGGATGGAATACTGAAAGCTTGATTTGTGCAAGATGCTTGTCCACACCAATATTATTGATATAACGCAGTCATCAGAAAGTCAAGTTGAAATTCAACCAATCACAAAATCACAAGGCCAAATGTTGGGAAACACTTGCAAGGAAGTTGCTTGGGAGCATGCCTCCGAAAACAAGACTTGGCACTTGTCAGAATATTGGAAGTTTGGGCTTACCCGATGCTGGCGGGACTCGTATCCTGAAGAATCCTGTAGTATCCAAGAGAAAGGTTTTTACTGGTGCTTCTTCTTTTCACATCTTAGGAATTTGAGAGAGCATCCGCTACTTATATATTAACAGAATCAACGGTGGCGTTCTACTTTTCTTGTAATCAGAGAGCAGCATGTATATTTTCGTAAGCTTGAACAGTAGTACATTTTTGTATCTTTCTCCTACAGGCACTAGGAATTTTGTTGGCTACATGTACCTTCCATTTGGATATTTTATCAAAGTTTTATCAAAGGGCTAATGATTTCTATCCATGTATTTCAAATGAATTTAAATGACTTACATAGATCAAGAGAATCTCAAATTACACAAACCGATCACAGTAATTTGATAGCTATTGATCATGCAATGCCTTTTCAAGAGCATCTTCATCCAGTAGACTCTTCTACAAAATTTGGTACTAACATTTTACTGTTGAAAGAAACGTCACTCCCATCCAATTTTGGTTGTGACAAAAATAAACCTGGTTTATATTTCCTACATGATTGCATTTTCAGTTTATGAATGTGCTTTGTTTGTAAAACTGGAGAAGACTGTGATGACATTGTTGCCCCATTCTAAGTTGGTATGTAGAGAATTGTGAAGGAAAGTAAAGCCCCTTAACTGTCAAAGGGCAAACCGTTTGGCCAACAGGTAGCGATACGCTGTTCACTGCACATATCCTTGTAATCTAGGGGATGGAACATGAAGGGGGTTTGACTTTGCACTCCTTGTATGTATGTATGTTAATATTTCGCAGTCAACTTTGCACAAGGAAATTACAAGGACATGTGCACCAAAGTACTTCCGTTATGGCAACCCTAATACACTACAAGTGTATATGCAAAGCTCAGCCTCACCCTTTGCGTGCTTTTGAGGGGAAAGAACATTTTGGTCTGACAAACACTGTTAGCGTTACTGCTTTACTCACATCATTGTAGCCGCGGTTTCCGCCATAGCTGCGACCGCCGCCGTATCC